GGGTCTCACTGAGTAGCTCAGCACCCCACCATTGCTGAGTTTGGCTTTGAACTTGCGATCTACCTGTCTCAGCCTCCTGAGCTACTGGAATTATAAGCAGGTGCCACTGAATTGCCTTATTGTCAATTTTTATGTCATAGGAACCTGGGTTTCTTCTACTGCATTTAGTTGAAATGGCCTAAGTTAATATGTGTAAGTTACATCTTTCCTCGAAGCACCTTCTCCTGTGGTGGTATCTTTTCAGAAAAAATAACCAAACATTTATTTTTTATCATTTAATCTTAATGCTCCCTCATCTTTTTCAGTACTTAGAAAGAGATAATATAAATTGGCACTTCTGTTGAAAACACTATGAGATTTCAAAGTGTATAATTAATCTTCCTTTTAATACTTTTTTATATCCAGAAGTATCATGATTCTATAAATTTTCATTTATATATATATATATATGATGAACTATAAACAGTTTTCACGTGCTATTTTCTCCATCTGTTGTATTTTTTAAAAGGCAATCCCATGTAATGAATTCCTGAAATTGTAGGGAATTTTTTTCCCCTACAATAAGAAATGCAAATGCTGTTAAAAACTAGAGCGGACTACTGGATTGACAATCATAATAACATAAGAAAGAAGACTTTGCTTTGTAAAACTTGCAGTGTATGCACTGAGGATGTACACTGGCCACAGTGCATTGTGATCAGAAATGAAGCTCAGATTTTAATCAGGTGGTTATATGGGGGTTTCACCACCCATATTCTCTAAGTTATAGACACTGTGCCTTTTACTGTGAAAACACAGCAACCAGGTAGATTCAAGGACAAGGAAGGGCAAAGTAGAAACCCAAAGCTTTTCACAGTCTTGGAAACCCACTAGCAGGTCATTGCAAACATTAGCCAAGCTCAACTTTACAGTTCTATGAAAATAAACACAGGCTTTCTTTGAAAGGAAAGGAAAAAATGACTATGTAAATATATGAGCAACAGACATGGAAAGATTAAATTCTGAATATTAAAGCACTCTCGACCATGACACACTTTAAGCATCACTATACGTTGCTAAGTGGACAATTAAGGGGAATGAATAGATGATATTCATGGAAATGGATTGATAGAAATGAAGTTATCTAGCAGGAATCCCAAAGACACTCCTCTGAAAAAGAGGTGCAATGAGCTTTCTTAGAAACAGGAGCCAACCAGACTACACAGCTGTATAGGGCAGTTATTATCTACCATCCAACTTTCTGTCTTTTCTTCAGTATACTGAGGAAATAATGATTCCATTCCCACCAATGGCAGCCAATATCTGCTTAGGTACCAAACCAACAGATAGAGGAAGATGGTGGAACAGGAAGCACCAGGAGTCTGTCCCCACACCTAGACAACCATCTCATTGGCAGATTGTCTGATGTAACCATGTTGGAACTCAGGATCTGTTAAAGGCTTGCTACATCCAGGAGAAGGACTAGATGGTAACCTGTGTTTGATTTCATCTTGTATCACAATAGTAATGACCTATTCCCAACTCCTATCCTCACAGCGGTCACTCATATCCTCATGGTTACATACTTGTTCCTCAAGTAGCCTACACACAACTGTCAGGGTGGACAGTGAGGGCCCCGTCCTCTGCACACTGAGGATCTGATTGCTACTTCTGATCACACAGGTGCCTACACAGAAACTGGCAGCCATGGTAACTCATCTTTCCCCATTGTTGCTGGTCAAAATAATTTCCTCTTTTGGGGGGCCCAGCTCTGCTACATTTCCCAGTCTCCCTTGAATGGTAGTGTGACTGAGTGGTGTGAATGACACCAAGAGGATGCAAGTCAAAAGTAACATGTGCCACTTCCAGGTTTTGCAGATAATGACCTTCCACCAATAAAGATATCTTCTTATCACTTTTTATAGCCATTGAGGGAGCCAAGGGGACCCACAGGATGGAAGAGCCTTGGTTTCCAGAATCATGTGAAACGCCACCCACCTACTAGGAATATCAGAGAGAAAAATCGACTATAATTGGGTAATCTAAGGACACTTTGGGGTATATTTCACTAGTTTGTACCAGGAAGATGGAGAATCTAGAGATTAAAAGATTGTTTAGAGTATGAGAAGGAGTACGAGCGGAGCCTCAGGAAGGGAGGTCACACATCCTTCCCATCCACGCCTGCTCTCTCCCTACTCCAACAGGTACAAGCTCACTAACTCACATGTGAGTGTGGCTCTCTTCAGACTGCACCGCATATGGAGTCTACAGAGTCAGCCTGACAGCCCCTCAGAATTTCCAATGCCACTTCATGGTTCACCACAGGAGATGGTTGTGAAGAAATATTTCCATCTTCCTCCTCCCCCGTTGCCTCTTTTATAACCCCCTGCAGAGGGAGAGCTAAATGGTCCAGCTCTCTTACAATGAAAGCAGACATGAGTCAAGTGCTACTTGGTATTCACACACCATCCTTCTTCCACCCGGCGAGGAGCACTTAACCAAATGACCTCATTAATCTTCGCATGCGCCGTGATCCTTGATCTTTTGGAGGAAGAATAAAGCAAAACAAAACCCCATGAGAAGCAACTGCTCCTTATCCCTATTTCACAGGTGAAGACACTGAGGAAGAAAGTGTGAAGGCTGCAGAAGGAAGCAAGAGGGCATCTGATGAAATGTTTTATTTCATTAAGAGAAAATCCCTCCTCTTCTGATGCCACAAGCTCCAAGAGCTCACGTTTTGTGGAACTAGTACTTCCTTAGAAAAAGTCTGTTAATCGCAGAATGAAACTGACCAAATGATATACCAAATCAATATACCACAAATTGTATACAAATTAATATACCACAGCAAATTTCATCTCCATATGTGTGTATGTGTGTGTGGGCATATATATATATATAATTTATATGTGTATATGTATATATATGTATATGTGTGAATATATATATGTATGTATGTATATATGTATATATATATACTTATTATGTGTGTATGCACATATATATAATTTATATGTGTGTATATGTATATATATGTATATGTGTGAATATATATATATGAATGTATGTATATATCACCAATTTAAAAAAAGAAAGAAAAGATCAGTAACAGTAGAGGAAAGGGGAAGGGAGGGAAGAGGAAGTACTTGGAACCAAAATAAAGCAAATTATATGTCATGCATGTATGTTTATGCCAGAATTAAACCCAATATTATTTATAAATGCAGTGTATTAATGAAAATATTTAAAAATAGTCATTAATGTTTATAAAAAGATACAGGCACAAACAAACACATACACACACACACACACACACACACACACCAATAATTCAGTATTTGGCTTCTCTTAGAAAAACAAGATAAAGTCACATACAGCCCATATTCTTGCATTTCAGGGCAACTTATGGTTGTAGATGAGGAGCTATGTTACCTCTGTTCCCACGTTACAGTCTCTAATTTGTTAGTGTTCACCTGCCAATCTGTGGCCAGTTATTATTGATGACATATGAGTTTCTGGCCCTATGTTAACTACATATCATTAAGGAGCTAAAATATAGATTCATAAACCACTAAATCCTTCCCTTACTACATTCTAGACTTTACCATTTGTAGAATGTGTTTAAAATGATAAGAATAGGGATTACAGGCAGAATCTTGTCTTTTAGTGTTCCTGCCTTCTCCTTTCAACATTGTGTCTTGCAGTGACGAGGGAGTGGGACAGGGATACCACCAAGTGGTACCCCGCAAACTGACTCACTGACAATCTCCCTTCTTGCAGAAAGGAAAAGAGAGTAAAGTCTACTGAGAAGGTTCAAAATTCACCCTTTACATTGCTGAGCAGAGAAGAGTAGGTGCAAGCTGAAGGAAGACCTGCATAAGAAGGTTTACAAAGCCACAAGTGAGGAGTGTGTGGAAGAAGACCTTGGAGGTGAGGGCTGACAACTTCTGTCCTGTGGAAAGCATTGGACCTTTTGAAGCATGGTGTTGTGGGCAAAAATTAAACTTTTTTCATGGCCAAATCAGGAGAGGAAGAATTATGACAGGACGATTACCAGAGATAGATTATGATGCTTGCTATTAATCATTGAGGAGTAACTACAGGGTTTATTTGGTTAAACAAAAACAAAAACACAAACCCCAATTTTGATATTGATCAATACCACAGTGAATATGCTATTAGAATGGAAGGGTGATTATGTTAATTAGGTTTAGACTCCAGGACTATTATTACCTAGAAGCCATGCCATTAATATACATCCTCACCCTGGTTCATGACTAAGTCCTTCAGCTGAAAGAAATCTATATTAATCCTGAAATTACCGCATAGCTGGCTTTAGCAGTTTACATAGTTCAGAGATGTTTATCCTCATCTCTATATCATGCTTTAGACTTTAAACAGCATTATGCATCTTAAGTGATGGTAACAATTATGAAGAAAAGTAGCAGTAGATGTAATGAACTCTTCTCCAGGTTCTAGGTTAAAAGTATCTATTAAATATGTAATTCCCCCAAAACATCCAGGGAATGTTTTCTTATCTCAATTTTACAGGTGAGGAAATGCCACTCCAAGAGTTTTAAGTACCTTGTAGCTAATAAGCGACAAATCTGGAATTAAATGCTAGATCTGTATTGATTTAAGTCTTTGCTATGGTGCTACTATCACAAAGATTAACAAGGAAATCTTAAGAACTAAATTAATTCCTTATGAAGGTTTAACATTTCATTTTTCTAGGAATGAATCTTTTTGACCAATATTCCCAAATATTTATCTTCTTCTTAATCTATCCTTTCATGTGAAATTTGACTACAGTTAATGTCTATTACACTTTCTCATTGATATAAAACATGATGCTATTCATTTCCTTCCTTTCTACAAATTCTCTCTTCTAACCTTCTTTTATGTTTGGGCCAAAGAGATTAAAACAGGTTTTGAGATTTAGCAGTCACCTTACACCTACAGGAGCAGAAAATTAATACTTCTGATGTTTGCATTTCCACAGAGTTCAGAAATTCAGAGGAGAGCATGTGGCTTGGTAAAGAGATTCATTTGGGACCTCCTAACATAGAAGGTTCCAGTCATATAAAAAACTTCAGACATTTGAAAAACAAATTTCCAAATGTTTTTCTTGCTCCAACACCCTTACCTTTTTCTTTTTCCTTTCATAGTACGAGTTGACTTAGACACTTATGAAAAGAACTTCCTTTGGGAAATTTTAGTTTTGTATGTATGTGAGCAATAAAAGTCTGATGCAGCCTCTTAGTCAACAGAGATCCGTGCCAGGCATATAATTATAAGATCACCAGCGGGAGAGTCTACAATAATTGATCGTGACAAATAGTAAATGGCTGAAGGCAGGCACAGATATTATAAATAAAATTGTTTTTTAATTTAATCTTCAGTGTTCATCTGGATTCTATGCATTTTGTATAGCATCTCAGAGACTCTTAAATAACAGCCATTGACAGGAGTTTTGGGCTTTCTTTTAACTTCATCTCCCATTTTCCTAACAAGTACAAATGTGTTTTGAGAACATTTAGAGATTTAAATTGAACTTTTTTTTTTTTTTTATAAAACTGAGCAGATGTAAAAATCCAACAGGATAAAATTACAGTTGCGGGAATTATGACTTCAGTCATCTGCATACAGTTCTCACATTCAAGAAGACTTTGAGAATTTTCCACCACCTTGAAACTTTCAGAATAATTGGGAATTTTTTCTGAATAATTGGGAATCAAAGACATCCTCTGATACCAACATTATTTTTTTTAAAAAAGAGATTTTCTATTCTTTTCTCCAGAATTTTATGTTCATTAATCATCCAAGCAATGAGGAGAACCCAGTTATGTATGTATGTATGTGGGAGCAGTGATGTACTAAAGTATTTAAATTAACTAACAAATGTGGATTAAACAACTGCCTTTTTCTTTTTTCTGAGAAGGCTAAAAGTATACTCCAAGATGAAGTATATTACTAATTTCCAGAATGTATTTAAAAATCATAATATGAGACAGAACGAAATAGTTAAGTTGAATGAGACATCAACTATCTGGAGACATTAAGTAATCACAATGGCATCTGTATCACTGATGTACTAGGTGTAGAACATGTCAAACAGATCTCATTAAAATTGGGAAAGAGTAGTATTTTGTGACTCATAGTGCTTAAAAACTCATCAACTTTCAATCAAAAACTGTATTGTATGTGTACTTCTGTGTATGTGAGAGTTCTTAATTTCAAAAGCTAATACAAATTAAATTTTTACTTAGTTTCTGAATACTTAGTACAAACTATAGGTGACCCTTCAACTTTTAAGTTCATCATGACATGAGACTCAGGAGATTTTGCACAAAAATCTACCGCTTCACTTTGTTTGAAAAATAATAACCAATATTAACTTTATAACTTAATATCCTAATTTCTGGCCCACAGTAAAGAAAATTTATTTCTTTTAAAAAATGAATTCTGAGTATACTCAAAGTTTCTGCTGATTTTTCAGTTGCAAAATACAGCTATTATTTCTAAGTAAGAAAGATAGAACATTCAACATGTTTTACACATATTAGTCATCTCAGACTGACTTGGGTCCTAAGTAAGATTCTTAGCCTGATTTTCAGGGCCTGAAATCAGCAGCTTCTACGCTGGGGAAGGCATTGTTGTTAATTCAAGGAGGCTATAATTAAGTGGATCTCATAAGCTTTCATGAGACAGCTTGATAGACTACTGGTCTGATAAGTTATTAAATATGGTTTTGATTTTTTAAAAGGCAATAACAAAAGAAATCAACAAATAAAGTATTTGGGATTTATCCTGGGGCTTAGAACCATATCAAGACCCTGGGTTCTATAAAAACAAATTGCATTAATACCCTAGAGAATAAACCAGCACTCCTAAACACAACATGATATTTAATAAATTCCTGAGGGGCTGGGGATGTGACTCAAATGGTAGCATGCTCGCCTAGCATGTGTGAGGCACTGGATTAGATCCTCAGCACCACATAAAAATAAAATAAAGATATTGTGTCCACCTAAAAAATTTAAAAAATAATAATAAAAATAAATAAATTCCTGAAATGTGGTTAAAACTACTAGATATTCCAAATAAACAAATGGTTGAAGCATAACAATGTTTTATGAGAGTATAAGTTTAATAAAATAGGCACTTTTAGCTAACATATCTGAAAGAAAAGTTTAGTGCCACCTTTTCATAATGTAAGTGGTTTCTTGCCCAGTAATTAAATTGCCTTCTCTAATTCTATTCATTTGTCTACTGAGCAAGTACCTTGTCAAATACTATATATAATGGACACTTTTTCTGCCATGATGGGATTCTCTTTAATTGGTTTTAAACTATTGGCATGACTTTTCATAGAAATAATTCAAATATACTATTTAACTTCCCTGGGTGTGGACTTTCTTATTTGCAAAATGGGAAAACGCATTTTTTAATATCTCAGACTAATACTTTTAAAATGACTTCAAATAGCATCCATATGAGGATGTGAAATGAAATACAATGAGTTCATTCTCCTCTGAATTGTCTCTGAAATGCTTATATGTCTACCTTGCCCACCATAACACCATTCTTAGGGTAGTGGCTAATGGAGAATCAGTCTTTCAGAATGAAAGGACTGAGCCTCAAGCCATGTGACCCCACTTCCTTGATTGTAATCATCTACACCAGAGTTGGAATGGGAACTCATGGCACCTTGGTTATGGAAAGTATCTATGTCATCATGTGTTATTTATAGAGACCACCCAGAGGATCTCCACATAGGGTAGTGACAAACTCAAAAACGTTGTCTTGGGCCAGGTGCAGTGGCCTGTAATCCAAGCAGCTTAGGAGGCTAAGGCAGGAGGATCATGAGTTCAAAGCCAGCCTCAGCAAAAGCGAGGTGCTAAGCAACTTAGTGAGACCCTGTCTCTAAATAAAATATAAAATAGGGCTGAGGTTGTAGCTCAGTGGCCGAGTGTCCCTGTGTTCAATCCCTGGTACTGAAACAAAACAAAACAACAACAACAACAAAAAAGTCTTGGAGGAGAATATGAATGCACATTAAGGTAGTTAAAAATGATTCTTGATGGAAGATAAAACGTAGATCTGCCTTTGAAGTAATAATTAAAACACATTATTTCCAACTCTCCAGTTGTTCACTGAACATTTCAGACTGGGACCCCTCTGAGATCCAGAGTCTCTAGAATTGAAATGGCTATCTAGAGATTTCACTATATTTCTTTAATTCCCATGTGTGCTTATAATAAGCCCTTGTCACCCATGATAGCACTTTCCCCCATAACTTGTAATAGTTCAAGTAATACACACCTTCGCAGGCCACAAATTATATATTTACTTCATTTACTTAGCTAAAGTAAAGCAAGAATGTGCTTGCTTATGTTTAAAAAAAATGCCACATGCTGTAATTTGATGACATAGTCAAAAAGGTAATGATAAATTTTTTTGGCCCTTGCACAACCCTATCAAATGTAAATCGTGGCCCCAGAGCAACATAGCAAAACATCATGGATTCAAGAGGGAAGATTGTCTTAATGATGGGCTGGGGTGCAGAGACTCTTGTTAGAATTTATCGCCATTTAAACATACCATCTATCCAAAAAATACATGAATACAAATGAAAAACCAACTAAAGGTAAAGAGAAAAGAACATGGAAATAGTGTTTATAAAAATGGAGGGAGAAAAGGAGTGAGCAATGAACATTGAGAGCCTAGACCAAAAGCATTATACTTTCTATATTATTATTTCTGAAGTAAGGAACAAGGACAAAGTCACATGTCAATTAGGCCAAAAGGCCTAAGGGTACCTCTACACATCAAATCAGGTGGTGAAGTGCTTCCTAGGGGACTTTACTGAATCTGGGAACCCTGAGACACTTTGGTATATATCTAGAGTGTTTTAGGGAACATGCCTT